TTTACCGTGCCCATGTTCGACAATCATTTTTTGTGCTGGATTTTTTTCAATAGTGAATTTTTGGAGGGTCTGTGGTTAAAAATAGGGAAAAAATTTGGATTTTATTATGAGACTATGTAGTTAAAAATGAGTATAAGAATTTTTTTTTTTTTTAAAAGAATGATTATCAAATAAGAGTTATATTTTCTATAAATTTTTCTTTAAAAAATAAAAAAGCTCGTGAAGCAATGCAGCTGGACTCGACAATGTAGCCCAACTTCGTACTGGGCCAAGTTCATCCTGGTCGGCACCCAATGGGACTACTTACATCGATCCACTAGCATCCTTGTCCTTATCCTTATCCTCATCTTTATTTTTATATTAACAGCCTGTTTGGGAGTAATTTTTTGTCTTTATTTTATTATTCCAGTTGTCATATTTGACTTCTTCTCTCACAGGTGGACCCCGCTTTTCTCCTAACTATCAAAAAATCAATTCTCAAAATTACTCCCAAACAGGCTCTAATAATTCAGCCCCAGTTTAGCCCCCAATAAATTACATTCTATTATATTCTTTTTTTTTCTTTCTTATTTTCAACCACACAATCTTCCATAAAATAATATTACACGTAAATCGAAATTTTTTTTTTCTTTTTCAACTACTTATTTTTTCAACAAAACACTATTTCTCTCATTTTCATTACTAAAATGGGGCCAAACGTGGCTTAGTAAGAGAAAGAAAGCTACATGTAATAATTGACCCATTCAAAAGCAATATGAAAAAAATAATAATATCGCGTCGACACGCGTGAGAGTATTCTTCCTGGAAAAAACCAAAGTGCAATTGTCGTTACGTGAATATAAGAATATGGAATAATTCTTATCGTACCCCACTACCTCAATTATTTGTTGCTTTCTCTCTTTTTCTTTTTCTTTTACACGCAAAGGTATTTGAATAATGTTAATTATATATAGGAAGTTACGTAATGATTTATAGCCTTTGTTTGAGTCCTATTTTGGAGAAAAATGAATTTTAAAATAGTGTATTGATGGAAAATGTGTGATTATAAAATAAAAAAAAATTTGATTTATGCGTAATATTATTTTATTAAAAAATGTGTGGTTGAAATTATATCAAAACATTATTTGAAAAAGTATTTTCGTGGAAATAATGGGGATCAAACAGGGGCATGTACGTCAAAAAGAGAATGCCGACATTTTATTTTTTATTTGATTGAACAAATTTTAACATAATCATATTTTACTATATCATATGTATATAAATCATTATGCGAACAAATTATGTACATGTAGTACAACAGTTGTTGGTTCGAAAAAAATCATTTACCCCTCGTTTGGACTTCATTTTCCAAAAAGTACAATTTTTTTTTTAAATATCATTTTTAATTGTACATCTTTCATAAAATGATATTTTACAGTTAAAATTAAAAATTCTATAAATACACGTGTAAAATTATTTTAGAAAGAACAATAATTTTAGAGCACGATATATTTTTCTTCTTTATTCTTAGTTTTTTTATGATTGAAATTTTTTTTTTTTTTTTTTTTTTTTTTTTTTTTTTTTTTTTTTTTTTTTTTTTTTTTTTTTTTTTTTTAAATTTCGTCTTGAAGTCGTAACTGCAAGATCTCTTGTAAATTCATGAGCTTATTTGAACAAATAAATCTCAATCTTGTTTGTAATTGACTTATTAGGAGAAATGTGATAAAAATGAATTCCTTTTTTGCTCCATTTTAATTTAATACATTTTTCTCTTTCTTTATTTTCAATCGTATATTTTTTAATAAAATAATATTGTATATAAATCCAAAATTTTTCTTACTTTTATATTCTTTAAAAAATTACTATATCAAAATATATTTTTTCTAAAATTTCATTAAAAAGTAGCTCAAACAAGGGCTAAAGAAATTTATTTTTTTAAACAAATTATAGCATTATTATTATTATAATATGTCAAATCTCATTTAATTTTCTAACCAATAAAACTTATCAACTAAAAGTCAAAAAATAATGTTATTTATAGTCGCTCACTATAACATTCGCCGTATATAATATACGTATAATAAATAATTATTCGATAAATGAGTCAATAAAAAATTATCAAATATCAAATGAGTGAATAGTAATAATATTGCTCAAAGTCAAAAGTAGGTGGGTTGTTAAAATCGTGCAGGCCCATTAACACGTAATTGTCGGCAACCCCGAAACTTCCGCTGTCCACTACCTTTAAATTAATGTAAAATTAGCATTTATTTTATTTTTAGTCACCTGACTTTCACGAAAATATCAATTGGATCATCCATCTTCAATTTATCAACAATCAAATCACCAATGTCATTTTATTTGTAAATTCAGTCACTCTGTTAGACCCAATACGTGAAATTAATTTCTAATTCATATGGTGACGAGCTAGGAGAAGTTGATGTTGTGAAATATTAGGCAAAACTATTTTATTCAAATATCACTCCGAATCATGTTTGCAAACGCTTGATTTATATTTCAAAGTGGAAGAAATTTGTTTGTTGTATCTAATGATGCTAGCTCAATTAGAAGAATGGATCTAGTGGTATTTGATTTTTTTTTTAATTTTAGAAGTAAATGCACTTAGCCTGTGTTTGCTGCACATTTTTTCAAAATGAAAATGAATTTTCCAACCTTTGTGCTTACTTTTCTAAACTAAAGGTGAGATGCAAGTCAAAAAAATCATATTAGGTGGTTCCAAAAACGGCTTTATTTATTCTGAAAGTAGAGAAAAATGGGAAACAAACAAGGGCTTAATTTTAAATTTTAACACTCACGTTATAGAAACATCTCTTTCCAACACTAAGCGTTGAAACATTAAAACGAGCAATAGCACCAACCATCACTACCATAGGCTATGATGGTAAACAACCAACAACAAAATAAAATAAAATTAGACGAGGCTAATTCATTAATTTCAATTACGAGCTCAAGTGGAGTGACTAAGATTCTAACTAAAGATGGATGTCTTAATTGAGATTGTCATGATAGTTCGTGGACCAAAAATAAAATTAATCCATTTATTGGGGCAGAAAATTTTCAGTGCTTGAGAAGGACAAACCCTAAATAATCAAGCAATCAATCCTTTGGATATTCTACTATTTATTTGTGTTTGCAGACATCTGGAAACTACTTGGAAACTACCTCTGCCTTGGTCATTTTGTCATTCCTATCTTTATCTCTCTATTGGCATCTAGCTTTTTCTCATTGTATCCTCCTTGCTAACCATCCTCTCCTCTTCTCTAGATTTTTGCGTAATTTTTGCTGTTTTTTTTAGGTAATTTCTCCTTGGATACATCGAATTATCAGCAGCTATATTTGTTTTGTTATGGGTCTTAATTGCTGACTGCGCTAATCTGCGATTTTCATTTTGTATTCTTCTTGTTCTAGATTTATAAATTCATGAAGGAAACTTTACGATATTTTAATTTTCTTACTTTTTTTTGGTTACTCTGAGACAGATATTAAAGATCCACTATTTTGGATAAACTATATTAACGATGTTTAGAATTTTTATGGTGTCTATTTTTTAGGGGGAAATGAGTTATTGCTGTTGGTGGCTACGTTTTGTACTTTGTTTAAAACTGAATCGTATATTCACGGCATATTCTAGTTTAATCTTTGAATTTTTCCTTGGTTTCCCTTGTGTTTAAACTTGATTAATTTTGAGTGTTGAAGTTGATTTTTTTTTAGATGTTCATAATGATGGAGATATTTGATTTACGGTTTCTTGTTCTATTTCTTTATTTTAATTAAAATAGCTAATCTTCGTTGCAGTGTTACTCTGTTTGGACTCATGCCAATTCCGGGAAACGAAGAGGTTTTCATCTGATTTTAGATCACTTTAATTTAATGATATATTTTATTTAAATTCTTTTGTTAATTCATTTTCATTTTCATTTTCAGCCTGTGGTACTTCCACAGCAGCATCTGCAGCAGCAGCAGTCTAGTAATTCTTCTGCAGCTATTCCCATTAAAAAGAGGAAATTTCCAATAATTCGGTCTCCTTCTCCGTCCCCTGAAGAACGACCGTCTGCATCCGAGGACAATGATTCAAAAAATAGAGAAGACTTTAAAAGCTCAGATAAAGTGTCATCTTTGGATGCTGCTATTGATATGGGTTCATCTGGTAATTCTGATATGAGCAAGAAATCTGTTTTAACTGCTAATGATGTAAGTCCTGGTAAATCTGAGATGACCAAGAATTCCGTTTTAGCTGCTATTGATAAAGATTCTAATATGAGCAAGAATTCTGTTTTAGTAGCTAAGAAAGAAAAAGGTACTGATACAAACGTCCACTTGTTGCAAACCAATTTGGACATTTCTGCATCCAAGCCTCAAGAGACTAAACGTTGTGATAGTTTAGGTTTTACGGATGGGGTAGTGAATAAAGTGAATTTCCTTTTAAATGAGAAATCTGCAGGATCAGGAGTTCCGGGACACAATATGGGTGCTGTTGTAGTGAATGTGAAGAAGGAAACTGACAGCCCACAAGTTGAAGGTGAAGGTAATTGTAAAGCTAATCTTTCTACTGGTTCGGGAAATGTTGAATTTTTATTGGAACCTAAGGAACCACACGTTCCTTCTTTGGGACCCAAAAAGAGTGAAACGAATCACCAAAAATCTGATAAGTTAGATTCTTTGTTGTTGAATTTGTCTCTATACAGAGATGCGCTCGTTACCCGTGAAATTAGTGATGATGGCTTAAATAATGTTAGCAGTCATGGATATGCTAATAATCGGTCAAACTGGGATCTAAATACTCCGATGGATGCGTGGGAGCCTTCTGTCAAAAACAATGCACTTCTTCGCAATACTAAAGGTATCAGCAAGTCCAATATTTCATCTGTACAGCCTAGGCATGAGTATAAGCCTGAGGATTCGCTTTGTCTTAGTCTTGGTATACCATACAGGGAGTTGAACTCCAATAGGGATCACTCTTCTTTATCAGATAAAGTTGACACTGTCAGGGTTGACTCAAACTCAAAGTTGCAAACAGGGAAGCTATCAACAATGAACGTGAATTCTGCTAGTAGTAGATCTGTGAAATTGGAAACTGTTGATGAGAATCTGGAATATAATTGCACCGGTGGTACTAGCAGTACAATGGAATTGTCGAGGCCTAGTTTGATGAAAAGTGAACTTATTGAGAGTTGCAGCTCAGAAACAGCAGTACCGTCATCTAGTTACTCGCACAAAGTAGTTGACACTGGACCAATAAAATCTGAACTGTTTCAGGAGTGTAACAAGGCAACAAGCAAACCTGCAGATTCTATTCTACCTCAATCTTCTGAAAAGGTTATGCAGCATCAAGAGAGCTGTGCATCTTCATCTGTTCCATCTATGCCTTTGACCCCTCTCAACTCGTGTCCCTCCAGGTTGCCAACCTTTTCAGAGTCAACAACAAGTGAGGATTTATCATATCAATCTGAACATTCTTTCCATACTAAAAACTTTTGTAACAGAGAGGATATACCAGATCAGCCAATTGATGCTGTGGTCCCTAAACCTGTAAGCCAGAAAGGCAAAGAAATAAGCGTGCACTGTGAGAAGGAAGAGAATTTGATTTCTGAAGATCCTGAAAGGTGCAAACTGAATCAGGTTGATGAGCATCCTAGTGAATTGTGTGGAAACAGTGAGGTATCTGCCATTGATGAGGAAAACATAAACATACCTACCGATATTGCTGGAGCAGATAAGTTTGGATCTAATGGAATTCATGCTTTTACCAATCACCATGGTATTGGAAAAAGACAACGTGACAAAGAAGATGAAGATTATGAAGATGGTGAGGTTCGAGAATCACTAATGCATCCAACGGTAGAAGATCCAAATTTTGACAGAAAGGAAGAAAATGTCAAACTTGTTGAGAGCGATACAAGAAATATGGAGTCTTTTGTTTTTTCGTCTGATAAAAATTGCGACATTCCTGATTTTGATGGAAAAGCCACTGCATTGGATAATCATGAGACGAATAACGACCAAATTAAGGAATGTGTTGATACGGGTCCCAATGAGCCTGGTGGTGAAGCTGGTGCTTTGCAAAAATCATTACTAGATGAAGTTAAAGAAGTTGGACTTGACAAAAAGAGCTCTGATATTGTATCTTCTGAGAAACAACTTAATCTTTCAGGAGGAGAACATGTTGAAGAGGGTGATGGAAAAGAAGTGACTGGTGAAGGGGCAATTAATGAGAGCCATGGGATGGAGGCAACACTAGGTGATGAGGCCACTGATGAGAGAATTAAAGAAATCTCTCTGGGAGAGAATGGTTCAACTCTGCCCAAGGCTGAAGCATCTGTAGATAATAATAGTAATAATAACAATGCTGCTAATTCGTCCAACAATGCAAGCAACAAGAGCCGCATCATAAATTTACCTCGTACTTCCATTGCTGCAGCCCCTTGTAAAACATTGTCTATTCCAGGTAGGTTGACTTCAAGAAGTGGAAAAGAAAGATGCTCTGATCTGGAGGGGGAGATACAACGTGGGAATAGGTATAATCTTGTGACCAGGCACTTGATTGGTTTCTTCATCTTTTAATAATTTTTACTTATATTATCTTCTCTATTTTCCTTTTTACAGAGATGAAATTTATACTGATGGTCCAAAAAAATTTGTGAAAGATTGGAGTCATCACGAGTCATTTAGAAATTCAAGATCGAGTTTCATAGCTCGAAGAGGAAGGCTATCTGGCAGGTTTGACCGGTTACACAATGATTGGGACTCCAACCGTGAGTTTGCATCAGAAAGTTACAACATCAAAACTGATTATCAGGATTCTAGACGTAAGCATACTTCTTCTATAGCTGACATTGAACTTGATTATAATGGCTATGGTATTGCACCGGATAATTCTGCTTTGAGTGGTGGTAGAAGGAAGGCCTTGAATGATGAGATGCGTTCATTGCGCCATCCATCTGCTAGGAGAATCTCTCCCAGAGGTAGAGGTGGTCATACGATGAGAGGCATTCCAATGCTTCGTAGAATTCCTAGAAATGTTAGTCCAAGTAGATTCACTGACGAAGATGGTTCTGAGATGGTTGGATTTCATCATAATGAAAAGTATATTCGGGAATTATCAGATGATATTATAGATCCTGTATTTACTCATCCACAAACCATGTATGATGAACTGGATGATCAGCTTGTGCGAGGGAACAGGAACTTCTCTACTTTGCAGAGAAAGGACTACTCTCGGGTCCGCTCGAAATCTCCTATTAGATCCCGAACACGGTCACCTGGTCCATGGTCATCTACTTGGAGGAGATCACCCAATCGGCATCCACAATTACCCCAGCATAGATCTCCAACTATGTATAGGATGGGGAGGATGAGGACTCCTGATCGTGATTGTTTTCCTGATGAGGTGGTTGGTAGAAGACGTGAATCTCCAACCTTTATGGCTCAGCCTTCTAATGACATAAGGGATGTGGATGCTGGACGGGAACATATTCAACATAGGTCTGGTAATTCAACTCGAAGAACCTCACCTGGACGGGTATTTCCCAGAAGCACTAGGAGAGTAAATGGTTTAGATCCTCGAGAGAGGGCAGATGGGGATGACTATATGAGTGGGACAGTACATTCCAATAGATATCATGATATGAGTGGTGATGAGAGAAGAAAGTTTGATGAGAGACGGGGAATGGCTCGTTCTTTTAGGCCTGCTTATGACAGTGATAATGACAATGTCCGTTTCAATCATGTAAACGATGGCCCCAGGCCTTTTAGGTTCCGTCCTGATGGAGAAATGGATTTCATTGAGAGAAGCACCGTAAGAGAGAGGGAGTTTGATGGGCGCGTTAAGCATCAGCCACTATTTGTATCAGGGCGAATGAGAAATATTCAAGAGCAACAGGACAGGAACCACAGGCCCAGTGGGCAGCAGGTTTGGCATGATCAGGATTTCAATGATGTCCCAAGAGTGAAAAGAAGAAGATTTCAACTCCCATTTAACTGCAGAAAAGAGTAGCTGTTCATTGTAAATGTTATTGCAGTTTCGAGTGAAGGACCACAAATTGTAGTGGTTGATGGAAAGCCCAAAATTGACCATGAAATTTGCGATGTTGCATTGTTTACTCTGTGAAATTAGCAACTGATGCCAGATGCTGAGGTAAGAAATGAGCTTCCAAGTACCCCTACACAACAGTTATGCTAGATATCATGTTTTACTTTTACTATGCTCATAAATAAATCAGGTAAGTTGATGATGTTCCCTCTCGTTGTTTATTCGACCTCAGTAAGGTTTATGCATGCTACATTTACCCAGTTAACGTATAAACGATCCCGGGAATTAAAATATGAAGAGTTGAGGCATCCCATTTCACAGTAAGAATGGAAATGTGGGTGGTCTGCATCTTGTAAAACTTTATTGCGAGTTTTTTTGAAGGAGACTCCAGGATTGAGTTTGCTGGTTAGGGAATGATTGGAAGCATGTTGGTATTGCAGTGTATTGGAGATTGTCACTTGTGTGGTACCAGATTTTGTTAAAACCCGTTATGTGATTTGGGATAATGGGATAATTAGCCAACATGTTTGGTCCTCATTTTTTTTCTCTTAACTTATTTTTAACTACATGTTTCAAGGGATTAACAATTTTTATCAAATTTTTGTCAAAATCTATTATGAGTGTAGTTTTACATAAAAAACTCATTCGGGGGCCACATGTGAAAGTGCAACCACATGCTGCTGGTTATGTTGTTGGTCGAATCATTAAATAATTGTAATTAATATAGTCTAATTATAAACTAATTTATAATCGGAAAAATTGCACTTAAGGTCACCAACTTCATGTCCAATGGCAAGTTGGTCCCAAACTTTAAAAGTTGGTAATTAGGTTCTTGCCATGTCATTATAGCTTGACAATAACCTTCAATGATAGATAACGTACAAATTTGTCGAATTATATTATGGCCCGTGTACGTCCACTTGTAAGAAGGTGTTTCTTTTCTCTCTCTTTATTATTATTATTATTATTTTTTTTCTCCCTTTCTCCCCTTTTCTTTATTTCTCTCTTCTTTCTTCTTTTT